TTTTTTTCAGAGCTTCTTTCTCCACATCTCCTTCTAGCACTTCCCATGTAACATCCTTGTTCCGAAGCTGTAAGTTTCCATTATGTGCTTCTTTGGCTTTTTCCAGAGCTTCTTTTGCAACATCCTTAAATAGGATAATTCCCTTAAAAAGAAGGGTAGCATTTGCATTTGAATCTTACTGCAAAAACATTCAGCTAGAATGATGAACAATGAGCAATTTCATTACTCTTGCATGACAAAATATGTCTAGACTGAAGCAAAACCCTCAAATTGTCCTAAAAAACATTCTCGGTCTCAATTTTTAATTTATCCACAGAGAAGTCTTGAACCTTTCACTGTTGTTTTGAAAAAAATTAAGGGAATAATTTAAGTCTCTCAGTATTCTCCAATTCCACAAGTCAAGTAGAGAATTTCTTATCTGACAATACAAGAGAAGCACTTAACCCCATTCCTACTCAAGGTTTAATACAGAGATCTTAACTCCTTATCCAAGATTCTACTGACCTCCTTTGCACCTCTGACAAAGTGTATCCATTTTATTTCTCCGTGACCAGAAAATACTTCATGGAGATCTTCTCTGCATGTTTGATCGTCTAGATCACCAGAAAATTTCAAAAGACATCCTGCTTTTTCTTCCAGAGACTTCTAAATGAAATAAAAAATCCCACATTTTTGTTCAAGAGTCAAGCTTGAATATTCATTTTTTTCCACTCAATCCTAGGACATGACATCGATAAATAAGCCATTGAAGTAACCCCCCCTTAACTCCATCAGTAACCCAAGCATTCTTGCTGCAGAGCTCATTTATGCTGATGTCCAAGTCTTGCATGTGTCCCCAACTCTTTTTTTTGTTCTCCTTTTTAAGACTTTCTTTGTTTACTATGATAAATTAATATGGAAGTTAGGACTCCTTTCTCCTAAGAGTTAAACTCTGCATTCTACAAAACAGTTTTCTGAAGGCTGACACCTCACGTTTGAAAACATGTATTGATTAAATCCTTACTGGATCCTTCAAGTACTACAGAACAATCATCTTGGTGGTACATTTAGGATCACTTATGAACAGATAAACATGCCTAAGCATTTATATTCAGGATATGATCTTTTAAACACAATTAGTCTCCTGAAAGTAAGATTCAATGCCATGACAAAACCAAGTCTGTCAGCTAGCTGGAAAACCTGAAGTGATTTTCTCGAAAGTGCTCTGTATTACAGAATTTCAAACTCTGAATATCTCAAGTTAGCTTTACAAAATGTAGCTGCAAAGCATGTTTATGCATGGCCTAAAAATCCATACAAGAACAAGCATCACATAGTTTTCAAGTATAGAGATTTAAGAAACCCATACCATTTCAGCATCTGCTGCTTGCTTCTGTTTTTCTTCTTTTTCCCTGGAGAAAAATTAAATTATTTAAGAGTTCGTTCAAGTGCAGTCAGGTGAGCAAAACCAGGCACTTCAGTTCCTAATGACTTACTGTTTAGCTCTTGCTTTAGCTTCTACTTTGTTTTGTTTCCTTTCTTCATTCTTCTTTGTACAATACTCCTCCCTTCAACAGAATATAAGCTAAGTTAATACCACTTAAAGTATTCATTATAATTACTCTCTAAGACAGCAGTAGCCAAGAAACAGTTGAGATCATAGTCTTCAAAAGGCACAGCTACCAGTGCCCTTACAACAGTGCAGAAACTTACGCTTGCACCTTAGACCAGGTTCTGGTCTAAATCTACCCCTGGCCATTATTAGTTCATACATCAGTCAAGTAAGGACTTACTTGAAAAGTACTATCAGCTCTGTGTCTTTGTACTTTTGGTTTGGGATCTCTGTGAACTTCTTAGCAGATTCCACACTATCAAAAACTGCAAATATTGAGCCCTATTAAATGGTAAGAGACATTCAGTGTTAGAGCAATTGAATCAAATGTTGTCCAGGGGATCCCTGCCCCACGTCTAACTGTCCATCACAAGAGCTACCTTAAATGTTCTCTGCAATGTTCTTCTCATTTGAATGTTTTCAACTGGACCTTTATCCTCAAGCCATTCTTTGATATCATCAAGAGTTGCATCTAGTGGAAAGCCTTTCTGCAAGATAGCAACAAGCTTCAATTATATGAAACAAACTGACACTTAGAAACTATAAGCTATGTAGTATGAGTTAATTTAAGCTTTACTTAGATGGCTTTCAAAGTCATGTAGAGCAGCACAGAGCAAAGGAAATTTACTTACAACATATACAGATCTGTTTTTAACAGCAGCCTTATACTGCTCATTTAATTCAGGAAGGGGTTTGTTTGGAGATCTTCTGATTTTAGTTTTGTCTTCATTTATTTCCATTAAACCAGTCCTGGATTTTCTTAGTGCTTCTACAATAACACTAAAATCTGTTGAAAGACGACTTAACCTATTGAGTAAGCAGACACAAGTTATCACAAAGATACAGGCAGAGCTGAAGCCAAATGTTCCAACAGCAACAGGAGTTGGACAAGCAGACCAGGGACATTTGATCTCAAATAGAGCTAAGTAGCTGAAAGTTGCCCTTCCATCCAGATTAGTTGTACTTTGTTTTACCTGTTGAATTTGATCATTACTTCTAAAGGCACCCAGCCATCGTCTAGTTTGATCTGTTCCTTTAAGAACTTGTCTCTTGGTAGATTGTGATTGCCAAAATAATACTGCAAGAAAGAAGGGAGAGTGGATCAGGGAGAGAGCTTTGTCTTTCAATGTTCAGTCTTAAAAGCTCATTTTCATCTAACAACTTACTGCAGCGAATTGAGACATACCAAAATTCCTAAGTCTGAACAATTAGAAATTCTGAGATTATTACTTCCTGCTTTAACATGATACTTTAGCTGCAACACCTAAGCTCTAGAAAAGCAGTACTCATTCAAGGAGACTAATGAGGCAAAGGCAGACTGCAGTTTTGTTTAGGAAAGGCACAAAGCTTATTCTGTTGACATAATTATGATCAAGCTGTGCAGAGTCAAACGTCAAATCTGTGCCCAAGATTCACATTTAGTCCTTATTTAAAGAATACATAAGCAAGACTATTTGCCACACTGAAAAATGATACATGTAGACTAGAGTTTCAAGGTCTCATTCAAGAAAATACTGTAAGATAAAAAAAATTGGTTTTAATTTACTATGTTCTGA